GGGGAGGAAATTCGGCTGCTGCCGGCCGGGTCCCCCCTCAGCCCAGGCCTGTGCCTCACGGGTAAAGCGCGAATGAACCCTTCCGAGCCCCGCCGTGAGGTGAAAGTGTGGGGGCCGGGGGTGGAGGTGGCTCTGCACCCCCTGGCAGCGCTGTCACCCTCTGTGAGGGGCCCCGGGACCCCCCCGGGGGCAGTGCCTCGGTGCTGGAAACTGGGGGATGGCTGAGGGAGTTTGCTCATGATGGGGCGTCGTCTGGCTTTGTGCGGGTAAATGGGAAAGGAAGAAAATGCTTGAAAATGCGAAGCTGGTGTTTGTGTTTGATCTCGTGTCTGTGGTCTGACAGGAAACTGAGTTGATGGGAACGCTGGGCATGTGCAGAGCCGGGCAATGAAACTCCTTATGGGTGGGAAACTGTATTTTCAGTTATAGAAGAATGAGATAAAAACCTAAATTAAATGTTTATGTATTTTTTCAATCTGAACTTTAATGTTTTTCTAATTACGTACAGCAACCTCGTCCAGCGGGAGGTGTCCCTGCCCATGGCGGGGGGTGGAACTCGATGGGCTTTAAGGTCCCTTCCAACACAAACCTGTCTATGTTTCTATATTAATACTACATTATTCAGTATAACTATCAATATTTGTTAGTATTAATGTTGTGATTTCATTTATAAGCTTATTGGTATAACACTGTTTTAGTTGATACCTAGAATGATCAATTGCAGGCTTTAATCTTCTTTGCTGTTTTGTTTCCTGTGCAGTGGAATGAAATTACAAAATATTTCCGAGCAGGCATGCCGTTAAGGAAACACAGGCAACATTTCAAAAGACATGGGAGCTGTTTTACTGCGTCCGAAGCTGTCGACTGGCTCCATGAAGTGTTGAGGAGTAATAGTAACTTTGGTCCCGAAGTTACTAGGCAGCAGACTATTCAGCTATTAAGAAAGTTTCTCAAGAATCATGTAATTGAAGATGTAAAAGGGAGATGGGGGTCTGAAAATTTAGAAGACAATGGTGCGCTATACAGGTACTGAAATGAAGAGCAGTTAACAGAGCTCTTCAGGTTGAGAAGTTTATTTAAAAATCTTAATGCTCAGATTCTCAAAACTCTTGCTTTGGGTTGAGCAGTTGGGCCAAAAATCAATTATTATCACTGTTTACTCAACTCTGACTTGCAGTATAGACCATACATCCTGTCTGCTGAGGGCTGTTCCCATGCTTTTGACCAGCCAAGTTTTTCACTGGCATGCATGCTACACCCGGGAGCTTTGGAGGGGAGCCAAGGAGAATTGATTGTAGTAACTGCATGCAGTGCTACCAGTCCTGTGTTTACTTCTCGTGTACGTTCTACAGAAAGTCTTAAGTGGGGAAACAGAGCCTATCCTAAGTTCTAAAATTAATGGTATTAATGGCCCTCTCTTCTCAAATTCTGCTCTCATTGCTGAAAAATACTTGGTCCTAAATATCTAGTATCTTCAGCTTGGCTTTGGAATCAAGAGAAGTAGCCCAAAGCTAACTTATAGTATGGTAAGGTTAAAGAAAAGTGTTCCAAAGAGAAAATTTCAGCATTTTTCTTCTTGTTTTCCTGAATCTTTTCATAATCTTTTGGAATCAACTGATAGGGTATGGGTTTGGTTAAGTGGCTTCTTATTTTTTTTAAATCTATTCTAAATGTATTTAACATGTCTCCTATTGATTACAGATTTCCTTCAACATCTCCAGTTAAACCTCTACCAAGCTCATGTCCACCAAAAGAGAACCTGGAAAACTTCTCTAGAGACAAAGAGAGGCTTTTTAAACTGCCATATTTATCCAGGAGAACTTTCAGAAAACATGAGTCACTACAGTCTCTGGTAAAAACTTATATTTCTTACATAACTACAGTTGCCATGTATTTTCTTTATCGTTTAAAAAAAATAAGAAGTACAAGCAGTCATCTTTTAGTGACACTGTTCTATTCTGTCGTCTTCCCTTGTAGCTTAAGAAATCAATTGGTGGGTTCTTCTAAACAGTGAAATAGAACATTTATATAGGTAAAAGAGAAAGATACAGCTGTGTTTTATAATGATGTGTCTTGGTGATGTATGCTGTTTCTCTTCTTGCATGTACAAAAAGATTTTATTAAATAACCTGTAAATATTCAAGCAAAATACGTACATGTAAAATCATAGCTGTAACTGTAATGTGGTGCTTTTTAAATGCTGGCAGCAAGTGAAAGGGGTTATGCATTTGACAGAGAAATTAAGTGTGCTCTTAAACCTGTATGAAGCTTTTTCTTCTGAACTTATTGGCAACAGTTTGTTGGGAAGAGTTTTCTTGGGGATTCTCGTGTTTGTTTTGTCTCCTTCAGTGCAGAATTATCCCTGCTACAGTATTTTACAGTATTGGGAGGGCTGGAAGGTGGCTAGAAATTATCTGGAGATATGTCCTTGTTGAAACTTAATATATTTTTTTGTTTAGGACAAATAAAATACACAAATTATTTAAATGTTTTGCTTACTTTTTGAAAAAGATGGAATGCGAGCGTTTGGCCCTTTATTCTTTTGAGATTTGTGTGCGCACACGTACTTTCTGGATTTAGATTGTGATCCTAAAGGACAATACTTCATCTACTAATACATTTGGATTTTATGCATTTCTGTCTTTTAAACTGCTGACTTCTGAGTTGATTAGGTCTTTTTCGTAGTGTCCTTTTTTCGCTTTTTAGTTGGGTATGCTTATATTTCAGTACTGAGACTGGTAAGGTTATTCCCTGGATCACTTTTTGGAATTTGATGTTCTGTAGAATGCCCTATACTTTTGAGAACAACTTTTATTTGAATTATCTTAAGAGGCTTGTTTATCTTACAGTATAAACCACTCATTTTCAGGAAAATATAGAAAAACCAAAACCAAATATAATAGAGGAAAACAAGGAAGACACACTGCATAAGAAGGAAATAAGCCAGGAATATGTGCAAGAAACATGGAGAAATATCATTCTAATACAGTAAGTAATCCATTGTGAAAAGTACCTTCTTGTTTATGTGCTTTGGATATGTAGTGGCCCAGTCAAGCTTTTGGCTTGCAAATTCCTTTGAAATTTTTTAAATTGTGTTTTAAGTTGAATATTTTTACCAGCTATTGTTTTTATATGCTTTCTAATGTACTTATTAGCATTGGATTGTTGCACTTAAGAAATTTATTGAAATTTATTGTTGCTGCTGTTGAAGTGTATTTTAAGTACCATAGATGCTCTTTCTACTGTTTTTTGGTGTTTTGTCCCAGGAAAAAGCATGTCCTCAAATTGTCCTTCTGGAAGTGAGAATTTATTAAACAGCAAACTTAGGTTATCAAGTAACTGGTAATAGACAGGGACAGAATTTATTTTCATTCCTTACTGGCAAACCTTTTAGACAACATCTGCTCTTTTCCACCCCACAGTTTGCAAACCATTTTAGGCCTCCCATCTCTGGACGAAGTTTTGCAGCCAACACAGATAGTTCCTGAGTATGTCATATACAATATGACTAACACCACCAGACATGGTGTTGTTGTTTTGCAGAACAAATCAGGTCAGATTATTTTCTTTTCTCCTGGTTTTGCTTCAAGTTTCTGTATGGTATAATTACAAGAAATAATAAATAATTATTAATATGTTTCATAGTCTTTCACACTCTTCCCAACCTAGACTACAGCTCAGTGTATTTGTCTAGAAGGTTTTGTAGGTGTATTACATTCATTTTTAAATTACACGTGTAGCAATATTTAAAATTAGTTTTAAATTTGGTCTTTTATATTTGAGGTATTATTTAATACACGTGTTCCATTATTTGTGTTAGTTATTAAGTGTTTGGGTTTTATATATAAATAATGTACTTGTTTGTTTCTTTTAGAAGACCTCCCTCACTGGGTGTTGTCAGCTATGAAATGCCTCGCGTACTGTAAGTCATGGAGTAGCTTTTAAGCTCCAGAAACCTATTTTGAGAGGTCAAAGTGAAATACACTTGCATGTCAATATCAATTGTAATGTTTCATTTTGGAAATGTAAATAGTGTAAGTGTCTTGATATGTTGAGAGGCAATGAAAGCAATCCCTATCAAATTGTTGGACAGAAACGTAACCTAAAAGAGTTAACACACGTTAAAGATGTTGCATTTCAGGTAATCTACGTATCAATCCTTTAGCAGGCTACCTAGTTATCCTGTTTCCAGGCTGCATTGTTTGATTCTGCATACGGATTTCTGGCAAGGTGATTAATCCATGAGATATACGGGAGAATTAATTAAACTCTGTAAGCTTTCAGTAGAAGCATGCTGTCCGAGGCCATGAAAAAGTTAAGGACTGTTTTTTTAAAAAATAACTCCTTTAAAAACGAGTCAGGTAGGGAGAAAACTGGAGTGGCTGGGAAAAACCTGTGTGTGGTTTCTGGTAATGCAGTTTTTCAGGAGTAAAGGAACTTTCCTTTTTCTATTTACTGGCTTTGAACTGGACTAAAACAGTTCCTGCACTTCATATTAAGCTGGGGAGGCCAATAAACAGAAAACCAGTTAGGTTTTTTGTCTAAGAAGAAATCAAAACTTTTCAAGTTACCTCCTTGTCTGCTTCCCCACCTCTTTTGTCAAACTGGCTTTAAAAAAAACCCAAAAAACAAAACCTTATGCTTAAAACCCTGCAAGACACCTTTTGTATTTACAGTTCAGCTGTGGAGAATGACGACCTCTTACAAATCTGTGGAGTAGATGAGAGAAATTTTTACAGGCTGATATTTTAGCTGTTATTTTGTGACAGAACTGAACTTTTGTTGTCTGCAGACCAAGAGTCAGCCTGAGCTCACCCCTTGTTTTGGTATTAATGTATGAAATACCAAGCAGCAAAACTGAAATTGGTTACAGTGCTTCTGTTTTGTTTTCTTTGTGTATTTGCTTAATGTATAATTTAGAAAGGCATGATGTTAAATATTAAACTTCAGAAAAGAAGAATCAGTTACCTACAGCTGCATAGACTGTTCTATACTGCTCTTGCTTACAGGCGGTACAGTGCTAAACTAACCAAGATATTTATGTTGCTGACATGATGCTTTTCTTGTGAAACAGTCATTCCTACAAGAACAAACTTATGTTGTTTTTTAATTTATTTTAATAATGGAAATGTGAGTGTAAATACTTTTGTAAATTTTCTTTCTTCACCTCCTTTTAGGGCCTAGAAATAATGACATGAGCCAACCAACTTATAGTGGGTTTGAACGGGATGTATTCAGAACAGTTGCTGATTACTTTCTCAGTCTCCCTGAACCATTACTTACTTTTGAGTACTATGAACTTTTTGTTAATATTTTAGGTATGTATGAATTTAGAAATAATCAGTGCAAGCTATAAGTTTATGTCAACTGGGGAACAAATCTGTAATTCAAAGCAGACCCTGACCCCCTAATCTGTATGGCAGCTTGAACCTGAGGAAGATGATCAATGCTATCATTTTGTATGACAATATTAATTGAAATGCAGTTCTGTCTCATAATATCCTATATAAATTGCTGTCTGATATAACATTCTGAATATGCAGTAACCATAATTTAAAAATACGTGCTCATTGCTGTCTGTTCCTCCCTATTGCTGTTTTGTTAACTTTCTTTGTTGCATGTTGGTTGCAATTATCTTGTTAGGTTGCTTTTGGACTGAGCTAAATTTTTCTTAATTTTACTAACTGAGTCAGCTATAAATTAATGTCTTATTTCTTTTCTCCTCTGTTCACTTAGCAACTTTATTTCTTTCTGAACTTGTTCACTTTCATACCACTTGCATCTTAATTTATATTTCATTTTCTGATAGTTATGTGTGGCTACATCACAATTCCAGATATATGCAGTGGAAAACATTCTGTTCAAGACGAGAAATGTGACCCACAACCTTCAAAACTTCACTTGAACTCTTTCAAGTCAACTGAATGTCTTCTTCTAAGCCTCCTTCGCAAAGAGCCCCATAAAAAACCAAAAGAATATGAAGTTTCCAGGATGTCTTCTTCAGAAGAGCTAACTGTTCAAAAACAATGTGCAAAGAAATTGCAGCAATATGAACTGACTTGTAAACCAGGCAGTGCTGATAATCTGCTAGGAGGAAGTTGTCAAAATCTTTCAGGTTTCAGGAAGGAACAAGATCCACCTCTAAAATTTAGGACAAGGTGTTACTCTTTGGAAAGGATTGGAGATACTACTTCAAGTGTACGTAATGAAGGAGAATCTGGTTCCCTCAGGCAAAGGGATGTGAACACCATCGCGGGCACAAGAAAAGGAAAGCAATCCCTACTGTGTGAGCATAAAGCTAATTCTGTTTTGGAGCTTGGTTTTGATGACACGTGTCAAAAACAAACCCATGGTATCAAGAGAGTGTCTGCCCCAACTCTGCAGGGTAAAGAGCTACTTAATGAAAATCACAGATCGAAGCAAATATGCAGGTCTCTGAGTTTACTTGGCAAGAGGAACTCTAAAAGTTGTGCTAGTATGAATGTACCGGTTGCTGAAATCACAGTAAAGCCAAGCTCTCAACTTTGTGGGCAAGGAAAACCAAATACCTCTGGTGTGGACATCAGGACTGAGGTTTCTGCTGTCACCGTCAGTATGAGACTCTGCAAAAGTACCACAGAACTCTCAGAATGCTCTCTCACTCACTCTTGTGTGTTGACTGGCACGCAAAGTAAGGTGGCTTTCTAAAGCATGTTGTACTGGCTTATTGTGTTGACTAACTAATCCCTGCTTCCTTAATCTTTGGCCCTGTTGCTAGGTTTTTTGATATGCATATAACATGATCTGTGGGTTTAAAAAAGAATAATTCTGGTGGCTCCGTTGCGCTGGCTAAAGGTAGCTTTTCATACCTCTGAACAAATAGTGTGTAGTATCTTTGGAGTCTGAAATTTAATGTGTCAGTAATTTGTGTCTCTGTTCAGGTAAGTAATTCTGACCCAGACGCTGTCTAGGAGTGTGGCAGGGAATTGGCATAGGTCTGTCTGTTGGAGGAGATGTCTTCTTCTGGTGTTTGAAATACATTTTTTGGAACTACTTCTGGGAAGAACATTAGTGTAATTTCTTAATTGTATTATGGTCTTAATTGTACCAGCAGTTTATTATAATGAAGCAAGTTGAAGGTGACCACACAAAAAGGCCATATAACATTATCTGCTCCGCTTCAGATGATTTCTATGAAACATAGATTATTGTTAGTGAAAAAAATGAAATTTCTTTTACTGAGATAGAAATACCCTGCAAGTTGTTTCTAATCTTAATGACAGCTGTCTTTACAATTAACTTGTAGATCTCCTTCAGCCTCATTTAGAAAGAATTGCTGTTGAAGCACTACAGATATGCTGTTTGTTGCTTCCACCACCAAATCGTAGGAAGATTCAGCTCCTGATGCGGATGATCTCTCGGATCAGTGAAAATGTTGATATGCCACGACTGCATGATGCGATGGGAACGCGTTCTCTGGTAAGAGAATCGTATGTGCAGCAGAAGTATCGTTTTAAGAACACCGCTGAAGTAATGCTGAGGGGACTAGCCATATTCCCTACTTGAGGCGCTCATCTCGTTGCAATTAAATAGTGATTCACGGACAGATTTTTTATCTGCAGAATATTTACAAAAATCTGATTTGAAGTAAGGACTTTCTTGTCTCCATCCTAGTATATTTCAAATAGTGGTGTTGCTTTTGTTTACTTTGGGGGAGGAGAAAGGAAATAATTTCTTAAAAGAATGCAAACGCAAATGTTTAGTTTGATTTCTCACCCAACTGCCATTTAACTTAAAGGGCGTTGGCAAAGGATCTGTTGAAAACCTTTCTTGAGCTAAACATTTGTGTATGGGAGGTTATGACAAAAACAGTTCCAAAGAAGTAAATGTTCTCCCTGGGGAGTTTAAAGATGAGCTTCAAAGTCTGAATTTAAGCTTTCACTGGAACAACTGAAGATTTTTGTCAAGCAAGATAGGATAAACCAACAAAGTACCGGCACGTGCTAATTTAAAATAAGCCTACTAAAAGCTGGAAATATGAACGCTGTAAAAATTCTCTTTAAAGCTATTTAAAACTGGATCTTGGTGTGCATTAGATGGTGGTTAGTCTGGCTCTGCAGGTTTTTTATCATCTTGTCTCAAGATGGCTAATTGAAGATATATGCTTGTCTACATGGGAAGACTTATTATTAGCTCTTTAAAATGTGTATTTCTTAATTGGAAGTACTCTTTAATAAAAAAGAACAAGTCTCATAAGAAGTTAACTTTATTTCAGATGAGGAAAAAAGTTACGATGAGTTTTCCTCCTCTCTTGACCAGTGGTGCAGGCAAGAGAGATTGCAGTGAAAGCTGGTGAATTCATTGTGCCACTGTGTAGACTGGGAGGAAGGCAAATCCCTCAACTGCGTGTGCTGATGATCTGCTAAACACTTCCAGATGATCCAGACCTTTTCTCGCTGCGTGCTGTGCTGTGCAGAAGAGGTAGATCTCGATGAGCTCCTTTCTACGCGATTAGTTTCATTTCTCATGGACCATCAACAAGAAATATTCCAAGTGCCAACTTACCTGCAGGTCGCAGTGCGAGATCACATAGAATATGTGAAGATGGCCCAGGTTGGTGGCATAACAGAAGTTTGAATTAATTTGCTAATTGCAGAGTAGTTGTTAGTTCTGAAGGTGGGATGGGAAAGCTGCAAATAAAAATATCTTTTGAATGCAAACTTTTAGCAAACTTATAACATTTTGCAACTTGTGGTGTCACTGTAAGGCAGTATCTTTGGATGTTTGCCAGGTACCTTCTTACCGAAACAGTCCACGAGCATTTGAGTGTATGCAGACCCCCTCTTCAACTTGTCTTGCAGTGCAAGTATCCAGAGGAAGAAATTTGTGCCATATTGCCAACGTATTCGTACTGCAAACAAATAACTCCTCAGGAGTTTGAAGAACAAAAGGTTTCCACCTCTCAAGCTGCAGTGGCAGAGCTCTTGGAGAACATTATCAAAGATAAAAACCTGTCTGTGAAAGACAAAAAGAAAAAGCTAAAACAGGTAGGAAACTTGGTGGGTATTTCATTTCCTTCTGCAAACACCTTTGTGAGGGAAGGCTCTCGGTCACTAGAGCCTGGCACAGGTCAGGAGCAGACTGTACAGAAGGAAGTCCTTGTTTTGTAGAGAGAGCTGTCTAGTGGGGTTTGATTGCGTGCTCGGAGTGGGATTTTAAAGACTGTGTCTGATACAGCAGTTGATGCTGTCTGGCAGCATTCAAACAATGATTTAAAACCAGCATAAAACTCCAAGACACTGCTCTCTGTTAGATGATGTGTGATAGATTTATGCTGTGGCTTCTTGTGGTGCGCTGGTTATATGAGTTTACCTTTAAAATCATATAGACGGGCTTAAAATCAGTAAGTGATAAAAGCAGGGGTGTTTGCTTTAAGAGGTCAAGCTCTATCTGTTCACAGTGCTGAAACATTCTTTTCTGTGGATTTAGCTTTGTGTTTCATAATGTATATATTGCTCAAGATTGTCTGGCACTTCCATGGCCTACTAACATATTGCCCAATACTAGAGATAAAATACAGCAATTCGGGCAGGATTTAATACTGGAGGGGTTTTTTATTTTTCTGAAAACCTTTGGCAAGTGTTTCTACCCGATTTAATAGTATTGTACTTGTCCTAGAATCTCCTAAGCGAGTCTTGTGACTCAAATTTGGAAAAGCAGCTTTTCAGAGCCAGCACATTTCTTTCTCTTTGGAACCCCTCCCCCAGCTTCTGCAACACTGACTTTCATATGAGTCGTGAAAACTCTCTGATCCTGTAAAAGTGAAGGCTGGACTTGGGTTTGAGTTCATTAAAACTTCCTGCTTGTAAAGAAGAGTAGTTAATTGCAGTGAACCAAACCTTGGAGTAAGCAAGCAGTAAGAACTGACACACAGGAGTGCTTCAAGCAGGTGAAGTGAGGAAGAAGGAAATAAACTAAAATCCTCTAATAATAAAACTTGAGGCACATACTTACATTTTTGTTGAGCAGAAGCAACAAGAAGTGTGATTCCAGAAGCAGCTTGTAGTGTACGGGCCACATGTTAGCAAAGTTTATTTTTAAAATTCACAAAGCTATATCGTTAACGTCTTGCCATTTGTGCAGGGCTAGCTGGTGGTGTGATAAATCACAACCTTTTGGACCAAGTATTCAGTTTTGATACTTTGAACTGGGAAAAGCAAAAAAAATGGCACTTTCCAGGGGATTAGGTCCAGCTTGTTTCCACACCAAAAGTTACAAATGGTGTCGCTTTCCACGGGCTGAATCAACCAGCAGAAAGCTTTGGCTGGTGCGTAGGTGCATGTACCATTATTCCTTCATGGCGCCTCACATGGGAAACGGGCAAAATGTCTAAACCACCTCTCTGAAGCCAGAGATTTTTGTTTTGCTGTATATCTGCAGGTATTGAAAAATAACTCCCTGGGTTAAGTAGTAAGCTTTCCTGAGAGAATACCATTAAAATTTGCTAAATTGTAATTTCTGATTAGGTACAACATTCATTGTGATTCTTTAAAGACAGTTTCCAAGCACAGACAGAACAGATCCCAGCGCTGGCTGGACAGCGTGGCTGCACGTGGGTGACCACCGTGCCTTGCGTGGAGCGGAGAGAGCTGCTCGTGCTGCTCAAACCGTGAGCAGAGTTACTGTCACCCACCTGATGAACAACAGGGTGAGGACTGCAAAGGGAGAGCCAGGCAGGTAGAACAGTAGCTCAGAGTGCTATTCTGGTCACAACAGCTAAAAATCCTTGGGAAACACATGGGATGAGAAGCTCGCCTCACTTCAGCAGAAGATGAAGTGCCTGACAGAATTTCTGGTTGACTCGTTGGTTAGCCGTTGTGAACTCACGAGCACAGAGGGCTGCAGCTGCGGGCAAGTGTCACAGTGGAGTTACCTTCCATGCTGACAGTCTTGCTCCTCCTGCTGACACGCATCCTCACAAAGCGATTCATGCTCAAGTCTGGCACAGCTGGAGTTTTTGGTGGAGTCTGATATTTTATTTCATTTTTTGCTTTTGTGTTTCCTAGTTTCAGAAGGAATACCCTCTGATCTACCAGAACAGATTCCCAACTACAGAGAATGAAGCGATGCTGTTGGAGAACAAACCTACCATCAAACAACCGATGCTGAGCCTAAGAAAACCAAGATTTCGTAGCCTAAGATATTAATTTTGCCACACTTCAGCTGCTTTTTTATTTGGTGGATATATGTATGAGTGATCTGCCACAGGGCGCTTGCTACAGAAATTTGCTGGTGGCTGTGTTTGTAGAAGGAAGAAATGTTTACATGGACACTGTGTTGAAAGGTGCAAAAAAACTTTTTTTTTTGTGCAGATAACTTGAATGACTGCTAAGAGAGAGAGAAATATTTATCTGTTTACAAATTATTACAATATATTGTGCTCAGTAAAATAAATGTGAAAATAAGCATGAAGCTCTTAGTAACCAAAAATTTACATATGGTTTACATATGGAAACTAATGATATGCATATCGTTATAACATTTAATATGTCTGTTTGGGAATTTGCACCATTTATTATAGTTTGTGTAGGTTTCTGAATGTCTGTATGTTGTGAATAAGTGCCGCCTTTGTATCCTCAAAATATTTGTCTTTAAGCAATACAATGTTCTTTGAGTTCGGGACTAATTTAAAAGTTGGTTGTGTTGTTTCCAAGGGAGACAGAAATTCACCATAAATAAATACGAGTCCATAGCGTACTTCTGTTCATCTCATCTGTAAAATTCACATAAATGTCTGTATATTTATTTATAATAAAACTCTTAGATATATTTCTGACATTTTAATGGCAAACTCATTTTGGATCTATTGGTGTACTTCTCAAAATAATAGAAGTGATGGATGGTATGTGAATTGATAACAAACAGGCTCAGAATAGACTAAATGTCCCTGGTTTTTTTTTCCCAGAGTTAGGGGCTTGCTTATTCATTGTGCTGAGGCTCCTCACAAGAATATAACTCTGCATGAGTATTTCTGTGAGAGAACAATTCCAAGTAAGTGTTTTCATAAAGGAGATTCCAGCTGAATGTTTATACAGATGTGCTTCAGGCCAAAAACTAAAAAGTCACAAGTGGTGACTGATGTTCGTGTTCAGTACTGAGCTTGGAGAGAAATGGGTGTTTCTCCCCCATGTTTGTATCCATCAAAAAGAAATCCTGAACTCCTTTTGTTCTCCCAAACAGACACTGACAGTGTGTAGGAGTAAAGCCTTGGGCAGGCAAGGGCATTTTAAATAAGAGTTAATGGAAAAAAAAAAAAAAAAATCACTGTCCTCTTTGCAAGGTAAAAAATAGCGCAGTACAGCAAAAAGATGGATGAGCCTTTAGGGGTGCAGTGAGCCATTGGTTATATGAAGTGTTGTCGTTTTGGAAAGATGTGATTTGTAGCTGTAGAGACCTATGGATAGTGCTGCTTGTAATGTGGGAACAGGAGCTTTCCACACTGGAATAATCTCAAGTTCTGTGTATGGTGAGGCTTTTCCAGAAGGTGTCCTGCCAGCAGGAGCACTGATGGAGCTGCCTCAGGCTGAGCACGGCTCTGATCACATCTTAGTGCTGAACTGTCTGCAACCATGAGGCTGCGCTTCAGTTCCTCAGGTTCTCTCCAACCCGGATAAAGAAGGTGAAACCGCCTCTCCATCCTGCGGCTGGCAGGCGGTTGTGTGAGTACATACAATTCTGTACATACCGTTGTGTATACACCACATCAGTCCTGTGTCGGTTTCACAGGGGTCGGGGCTGGTGCAGAGATTTACCTTCTGAGGACGGGGCTATAGCTGGCTCAAAACCTGCTTTGCAACGTGTCATTTTGCTCTTTGCTTTAAGAGAAGGCTTTGTAAACGGGGAACCGAGATGAGCCCAGGTTTAACCTGTCCTAGTAACACTTTAATGTCCTGTGGATAACTTCACGCTGGCGTAGGAGGGGACAGAGGTTCCTCCTCTGTAACGCCTGTAGTCGACTGCTTTGAAAAACCCCGCACCTGCCTAAACTTGCTGCTTCTTATTGTCAACCTGTTAAGTGTTGCATAAATGCTTTATTTATTTATTTATGTGTTCTAGTTAAGCAACTTATTAGGTGAGAAGCTCACATTTCTTAGGATTTAGCTTTCAAAGGGCTGCCTTCATTATTCAGAGTTCTTGATCCATGTTATTTAATGTTCCCTTCTACGGTTTTGACAGAACTTAACAAAAAAATGTGAATAAATAGGAAAATTGACTAGCTATGGGACAGTTAGATATTCCAAATGAACGTTGATACAAATTTCTATTTAACCTAAAACTTTCTTTGAGCTACCGTTTTCTCTCGAGTGAATTTTTTTACTGGGGGGAAAAAAAAATTACCTGTTCCCTGAAGTATTTTTTCGTTATGAAAATTGCCACTGTACAGAAGGATCGAGTCCCACCCCCTGCCATGGGCAGGGACACCTCCCACTAGCCCAGGTTGCCCAAAGCCTCATCCAGCCTGGCCTTGAACCCCTCCAGGGATGGGGCATCCACAGCTGCTCTGGGCACCCTGGGCCACTGCCTCACCCCCCGCACAGGAAAACATTTCTTCCCCGAATCTCATCTCAATCTCCCCTCTTTCAGCTTCAACCCGTTCCCCCTTGTCGTGTCCCTGTACCCCCTGATCCAGAGCCCCCCCATCTCTCCTGTAGCCCCCTTTCAGTGCTGGAAGGTCTCCCCGGAGCCTTCTCTTCTCCAGGGACTTGCACCAAGGTGATGAAGCTTGCAAAAAGTCTCCCCTAGAAGCTCCGGGTGGAAGGAAAAGCCGATGGCTGATGCATAGGGGCAGGTAGGAATGATGATATTTGATGCTGACGCCTCATTTCATAGTATCTCTCAGGTCACGTCATTTCCCGGGGAAGCCCTGACCCTTGTCAAGGGATGCTCTGTCACGTGGGATGGAGGGGCTCTGCGGGTAGAAGCACTTTCCCCCTGCCCTGGGTCTGTGCCGGAGCTGGGACCGTCTCCCTATGGCACAGGGTACCGGTGCAGATCCAAGCGGCCGTGGCAAGCGCTCACCATGAGTGCAGCATGCTCTGCTTCACTCCTGGATTTTTTTTTTTTTCCTTTGTAATCACTTCTGCTTGGCAAGAATTTAGGTCTCGGAAAAACATTCAAAGCCCTTTTTTGTGTGAACAGCGAGACAAAACCTCCCAAAGCCCGGGGAGGATTTGGGCGGTGAAAGCCTGCTCTGTTCCCAGGGCGTGCTCATCGGCGGGGGTGGTTTTGGGTGCGGGGGTCCCCTCGCTGGGGCTCAGCACCCCATAAATACCCAGTGCACGGCTCTTGCTGGGTGCTTGGCTGCCAGAGGGTTGGGTCCTTCAAGGAGGAGAAAATGTACAGCCAGTGAGTATTCCTGCGGCAGCAAGGATGACTGTTGTGGTCCGGCGTTGGCTGGGGGTTGGCATGGTCTGGGGAGGATGAGGGTGGGGGGTGTCCATGCTGGTTCATCCCATGCCAAGGGGTGATGCTGGTCTTGGGGCATGGGGTCACCTCTGGGTACCGGAGGACAGTCGGTGTTTGGGAGGGGAGGACAGTGCCCATGTCTGTGTGTCCTCATGGGCTCTGTAGGAGATAAAATTGGAATCTAACAAACAGTTCTCAGCTGTGCACTCAAGTACGCTTTGCTCAAAGGGAAAAAGGAAAAAATGCTTATCCAGGACCTGGGACCTACAAGTTGGATTTTGCTTCATGACAGTTCAGGATGTGCCAAATTTGCCCATTGGGTGAGGGTGTTTGCCTTCACGGGCTGTCCCGTAAGAATCCCTGTTCCTCCATCCTGTGCTCGGGGTCCGGACGGTTCACAGGGGGCTGTAGTAGCTGCTCAGAGCCCTCAGAACCTTTCTCCCCATGAAGGGCTGGTCCTTCTCCCTCCTGACCTCGCAAGTGATTTGCAAGTCGCAGATCAGCCCATCCAGAAACAAACCCCCCTCCCTTGGGGTCCCTTCTAAAGTCCCCCCAAACCCGGGCTAACCCCAGCTCTGCTGCCCTTCCAGAGTCGAGCATCCCGCCGGGGGCTACAAGAAGCTCTACGAGACGGTGGAGGAGCTGTCCTCTCCGATGACCGCCAACGTCACAGGTCAGTGGGGGCTCCCCGGTCTCTTCCTGCCTGGGGTTTGTTCTCAGGAGCTTGGAGACTTTCCAAGGGCTGGAGCATGGGGTCGCGGGTAAAGGACCTACCAGGGCTGGCAGATTTTGGGGTACAGGAAGCGATGGATTGGGTGGAGCATCTTTAGGCACATCAATACAAATGGTTTGGTCTACAGGAGGTGTGTGGGTGAAGAAAAAAGCAGAGTTGAAAGAGCTCAGGCATGTTTAAAAGCCAAGTTTAATAAACATATTAAAAATAGTTTGAAGTTTCAAACTGTTTGTTGCTACAACACAAATGACTTGGTCTGGTTTGCCGTGGGCTAGGCACGTACCAACACTGTCTCTTCCACAGGCAGGATTCCCACCTGGCTGCGCGGAAGCCTCCTGAGATGCGGCCCCGGCTTGTTCGAGGTGGGCGCGGAGCCCTTCTACCACCTCTTCGATGGCCAGGCACTCCTCCACAAGTTCGACTTCAAGGAGGGGCACGTCACCTACCATCGAAGGTACGTGGCAATTTTCCAAGGAAAAGAAAAAAAAAAACTCAAATAATGAGGCATTTGCTGGACTAGAAGCGCTGGGGCAGGCTCTGCTGCCCAGCACGTGGGAGGCACCAGTTATTTCGAGTCCGTGCGGTTATCGGAAGAGCCCTAATGGTGAGGTCACTAAAACCGGCTGAAAATAATTGGCACTTACTCATCGTTAGCAGAAATGCAAAGTTTTGCACAGACGACAAAACATCTGGAAGAGGAGGGGGAGGAAGGTTGGACACAGCTGCAGCTGGTGACAGAATTACGTCGTCTGAAAACTGAAACGTGTTTTCGGCTAAAAGCTCTTAGCTTCCGGGTGTTTGTGCAGAATATTCAGCCGAAGCCCCGTGTTTCCCACCACCTCCAGCCCTTCTCATCCCTGCTCTCCCCAGGTTCGTCAGGAGCGACGCCTATGTGAGAGCCATGACCGAGAAACGGATCGTGATAACGGAATTCGGCACCTACGCCTACCCCGACCCCTGCAAGAACATCTTCTCCAGGTACCTGGGGGCTGCGGGCGTCGCAGCGATGTCCTGCGCTGCTCCCCCTTCCCAGCAGCCCCTGACCGCCTGTCCCTTTTCTCCACTCAGGTTTTTTTCGTACTTCAAAGGCGTGGAGGTCACCGATAACGCCCTTGTGAATGTCTACCCTATCGGCGAAGATTACTATGCCTGTACCGAGACCAACTTTATAACCAGAATTAACCCCGATACTCTAGAGACGCTTAAGCAGGTGAGTCTTTGTGCTGAGCTAAATACGCGGAAGAGTAAAACCAAAATGAAAATGTTTAGAACATCCCCATACAACAAGGCAAGAGTTGATGACACAGAAACAAAGCCATGCAGGTTAATGAGAGCTGGGTCAGAATGAGCTTGTACATGGATGCCCCATCCCTGGAGGGGTTCAAGGCCAGGCTGGATGAGGCTTTGGGCAACCTGGGCTGGTGGGAGGTGTCCCTGCCCATGGCAGGGGGTGGCACTGGGTGGGCTTTAAGGTCCCTTCCAACCCAAACCATCCCGGGATTCTATGAACCTACTGCTGCTGCTCTGGGTGACAGTTAACAGGGAGGTGATAGGTGTCCCTGTCCCCGTGCCTGGGTTGAGGTTTGCAAACCGGAGCTCCGGTGCAGCTTGGCCAACCCTGTAACCCTGTCCACCCACCCAACTGTCTCAAATCGCTTGGCTTTGCTGCTCTTCTCCTTTTCACAAAACAACGGCGATTTGGGCTTAGAGAAGAATCTTCCACATCCAAAGCAAGGTCGTATCGACCTGCGGCGCCTTGCAGAGCTGGTGGCTTCCCATCTCCTGCCAAGAAAGCTCCTGACTTTCTGCATCTCCCTCTCCAGGTGGATCTCTGTAAATACGTGTCTGTCAACGGGGCAACGGCTCATCCCCATGTGGAAAATGACGGGACCGTTTACAACATCGGCAATTGCTTCGGAAAAAACTTTGCGCTCGCCTATAACATCATCCGGATCCCTCCGCTTCAGGCAGGTCAGGCAATCCCACCTCAGAGCCAAATGAGAAAATCTTGTCCCATTAATCATTTTTTTTATTCTTCGAATGAGTTTAATCATCAAGTTACTTTTTTTTATTCATCTTCTTTATGTTTTATTCACTTCTTTAAGTAACACTTTTTAAGTAGTCACTTTTTAAAGTAAGTTATGTTAAAAAAAATTATTTACAGTTTCTAAATCAGGAACTGCCTTTGTGTTAAAGACAAAAAACTTGCTGGGTAGATGCTGCAAATGCAAACAAAGGTGGGTGCAACCCTCCGTAACCCTCCAACTGTCCCGTTCCAGACAAGGAAGACCCCATCAACAAGGCGGAGGTGGTGGTGCAGTTCCCCTGCAGTGACCGGTTCAAGCCCTCCTATGTTCACAGGTAACAGCTTGGGGGGGTTGGCTGAAGAGAGGTGCTCCTCCTGTGTCCCATGGAGCCACCAGCCCCCGCCAAGGGGAACCCCGTTTATTCCTGCAAGCACCCGAGGGTGGGGTGTGCGTGTGCAGCATCGCTGGTGTCTCATCCTCTGCAGAAGTGGGACACGGGGCTTGTTCTTGCACGTAACCACCAACTGAAATTGGGTGATTGACTAAAATCACAGAATCCCAGAGTGGTTTGGGGTGGAAGGGACCTTAAAGCCCATCCAGTCCCACCCCCTGCCATGGGCAGGGACACCTCCCACTAGCCCAGGTTGCCCAAAGCCTCACGATGATCTAAGATGAACTGCTACATGGTTTTTGTCCAATCTGACTCCAATGAGCTTGATGTGCTCCCTGTCTGTTCCCACACAGCTTTGGCCTGACCTCCAACTACATCGTGTTTGTCGAAACGCCGGTGAAAATCAACCTCTTCAAGTTCCTCTCCTCCTGGAGCCTTTGGGGAGCCAACTACATGGACTGCTTCGAGTCCAACGAAACCATGGGGGTAAGCAGTGGGTTGGCCTAAACTGGGCTGTACTGGGCAGCCAGCCCTGAACTGGGAGGTCCATTGTGTTTATTTCACCTTCATTCCTCCGAGCCTCCACCAAGCAGCTGCTTGCTTTCCAGGTCTGGCTTCACGTGGCAGAGAAGAAGAAAGGCAGGCTCCTGAACATCAAATTCCGCACCTCCGCCTTCAACCTCTTCCATCACATCAACACCTACGAGGACAATGGATTCCTCATCGTCGACCTCTGCACCTGGAAGGGGTGAGTCCTGGCAGTGCTGAGCTCGGGGGCAGCTGGGGGTGCAGACAGAGCCCCAGACACACCCGTCCCTGCACTGGCATGTCCCTTCTGCATTGGAATCACTCATGTCACCTGCACCACCTCTCTCCAACCCATGTAAATACCCCCATGTGGTGCCACGTAGGCTGTACGGTCACCAGGTTTTCCTTGAGGGGGAAGCCGTGCACGCACAGCTTGCTTCAGCCAAGGAGCTGGACCAGGACTCGTCTTACTCCATGGAATTTTAGGAAAAAACAGCTTCGTTTGATTCCCTCGCTTGCAAATGACATCTTGGTTTCTGCCTGTGACCCGGCTCTGTGCAGGTTCGAGTTTATTTACAATTACCTCTACTTGGCCAACCTGCGAGCCAACTGGGATGAAGTGAAGCGACAGGCGGAGAAAGCCCCACAGCCCGAGGCGCGCAGATATGTCCTGCCCCTCAACATCAACAAGGTACCGGCGCAGGTCTGAGCACCCTGGAGGGGTTCAAGGACAGGCGGGATGAGGCTTTGAGCAACCTGGGCTAGTGGGAGGTGTCCCTGCCCATGGCAGGGGGTTGGAACTCAGTGGGCTTTAAGGTCCCTTCCAACCCAAACCGTTCCCTGATTCTATGATTTTTCTTTGTCCCAGGCTGACACAGGCAAGAACCTGGTCAAGCTGCCCTACACGACAGCAACGGTGTTACTGGGCAGAGACCAAAGCCAGAAGTTATTTTCTCGGGGCCGCGCCATGGTAAGGTGACAACCCCAAAGCTCAGCCAGAAGCAACACGAGTGCCCGCCGTGCTCTGCCTCCCACCAATCCTCAAGCATATTTATTTTTTTTGTTTTATTGTAGCCTTTGAATTTCCACAGATCAACTACAAGAAGTACAGCGGGAAACCTTACACGTACACATACGGGCTGGGGCTGAACCACTTTGTCCCAGACAGGGTAACTATCAAACCCAGTGAGGCTCATCTTTTCCATGTGCTTTCAGTTTAAGGATAAGAAAGAATATTTCTGAGATGCGTGGGTTTCTTGTTTTTCACCCACCTTTAGCTTTGCAAGCTTAATGTTAAAACAAAGGAGACCTGGGTGTGGCAGGGGCCGGGTTCATACCCATCGGAGCCGATCTTCGTTTCCCATCCGGATGCGCTGGAGGAAGATGATGGTAATGCTGGTTTTATTTTGGTCAATAGCATCATTGCAGCTTTGTGTCTGCAAGGCGGTGCCAGAGGTGGGCATGAGCAGAGGCCCTGGGCAGCTCCGCAATGCAATGTACCTTGTTTCCGAGGAAACACGGGAAAACTAAGACTAAATTAAACCAAAGGAGGAGAAAGACCTTGAGGTTTAGTTGATCTGCTGTCCTCATTTCCCAGCCTTTTCCCATTGGGAACTGGAGTATTTAAAGAACTGCAGGTGGCTTAAACCTCTCTCAAACCAAGTTTTCTGTTCCTATTCCACCCTCCTCGTGCAGGAGCGGAGGGGATTCGGGCTCTTGTCACTCGAGGGCACGTAGCTGTGCTCATGCCAAGCGCTGTGCGTGTTTCTTCGCGCATCCCCAGCCCCGTCCCTATTTTTGAAGGTGAGCGGCAGCCGCCTCAGGGCGTCCACTTATTCCCCAAATTCCTCATCTCTGAACAGGATTATGTGAAGTGGGGAGAAGTCTTGGCTCTGCTCAGTTTCAGAACCAACTCTTACTGGTTTACAGTGAGGGTTTCATATTCCATAGCCAAAATATTTCATATTTCAGAGGAAAATTTCATATTTAATATTATCTGTTCCCAGTTCAGGAAAGCGCTCATACAGGGGCTTAAGTCCCGCTGAAATGAAAAGGTTTTTTTGTTTGGCTAAGCTTTGGGTTGGTTGTTTTTCTTGCCTGCCAGGGGTTGTGCTGAGCATCGTGATCAGCCCGGGCGCGGGGCCGAAGCCCGCCTACCTCCTCATCCTGAGCGCCAAAGACATGAGCGAGGTTGCCAGGGCTGAAGTGGAGGTGAACATCCCTGTGACTTTCCACGGACTCTTCAAAAGAGCGTGACTGCTGCCTGCACCACGTCACCTTAGGATTCTTCCAGCTCCAGAAAGGTGCAGTCGCTGTTTACAAGCACTCAAATGACCTAAATTTCTTCAACATCCCTCTTTATTTGCATGGCTGCTTAATTAAGATTGAGCATTTCAGTTTTGATCAGGATTCTTCAAAATACTTCACCAGGTGTTCTTCAAACACACCCTTTGGCACAACGTCCAGCTGTACAGTGCTAAGAACCACACAGTTAAAAAACACAGGTTTGGGGTGTGGGGGGAGTGTTTTGTTTTTACAAAATTAAAACTTTGCAGCTGCGGCACAGTTAAAGATGCACGAAACAGCCCCATGTAAACTCAGCACCTGTACACGTGCTAACAGGATGTAGAACAGTCTCTCTGCTCTGTTACACACCTTGAGAAGAGGGAAATTTTAACCTATATGGAAGTATTAGGGATGTAAATCCTCTCCTGGTCACTCCTTTAGTACCCTCAGAGCAGGCTGCCTGGAGCCTTTCCATAGCTGCGGTGGCAGTCAGAACCGGCAGGCCCAAGGCTGCGCGGCAGGCAGCGTTCTCTCCTTTACTATGGCGGAAAACCACACCTGCTAGCTTCTGGTTTTTCTCTTTCCCATTTCTTTTGCAGTTTCTTGAGTTCTGGATTTCATCCTAAAACACGAATATGAAAAAACTCAAACAACTGGTACAGCTTGGGGCGAATTTGCTTCCTTTGAGCGCTCTGGACTCTCAGCTTAATCCTTTTCACAAAATAAGTTTTTAACTAATGTAGCAAGACGCTGCGGTTCAACATACCAACTTCCTGATAACAGCCTCGTTTGTCTGTAATAATTTAGCATTTTTATTAGTGGTATCGAAGAATTAGAAAATCATTTACATTAAAGATTTCTAGTACACGGTGCTTGCTTTCACAGGCTGATGATTTGCACAGGGCTGCAGTCACATTCTGCTGCCAGGATCCCGACACGGAGATACCGCCTGGTCCTTCTGCTGCTCTGTGCTACCTAAGCACTGCCCAACCACCTCATTCAAAACAAAAGACAAGATGAGCGACGGGCCTCTCAAACAAAAAAATAGTACAACTTCCTCATTATGCATTCATTCAGTAACATGGTTGTTCTTACAAAACACTGACCATTTAAAATGAACAGTTTTTGGCTGTGGTGGTGGGGGAAACAGATGTCCGTGTCATGTGTCACTGGAACAGGGGAAATGTACAGGAAGACTCATCCTCAGGATCCCAAAGTCTAGGCATTGCGTGCAGGGACCACTAAATCATTTTGAAGTCACTATGGTGACAGGAGAATTACTTTTGGAGGAAGATATTTCTCTGTAGAACTCCAATGCAAATATATTCTGTGATAATCCGCTCCCGTTATTACATAGCTCTGCTCCCAGGATTCCCACTCACGTATCAAAAATTGTCAGAACATCCTGCTCTTCCACAGCCACCTTCTTCTAGGAAGTCATCTTTCTTGCTGGCTTGTGACAACAGGGACTGCAAATAGAGAACTGGTTTTGGTTTTTAAAAGCAAGATAACTCTCCATGTTCCAGTGCTACTCGAGCACATGTTGTCTTTTAAAAGCTTATTTAAAAGGAAGCGCATTGAGGATCTGAATGAGGACATGCTGTCAGGTCAGAGAAAGCTAAACATAATTTCCACCTATTAGCAAGAACAGGGATAAAGTAGAAAAATAATATTGTAACAAAACAGCTAAAAGTGCAAACTTGACTTGTGGTGTGCTGGTGAAAATTAACTATGACTCATTTCAACAGTTGCTGACTTTCTTTTCATGTGTTGTTCCTAGAGAGGGGTATCTCTGAGCTCTAGTATTAGAAAATACCTCTCGGTGCTCTCCCACTATCAAACTTGCCATAAATTCCACAGAAAATATTTAACATCTATGTAGTACCACAAATATGTACCATATTTAGAAGAATTAATTGGTAGCAGGCTCTATTTGTGATCTTCAAGTAAACAAGCTTCAGAAGTGCAAAGAGCATTTTAAGTATTGCTAATAAACAGTGTACCAAGGCAAAACAGAAGAACAAAGGCGGCAGCTTTCAAAAAGAACATAACGGAGTGGATGTCTGCTAACTTTAAATAAAAAGGCAGGACGGGGTGGGGGGAGGCATCCCAAAGGTAAGCAGCACATTACAAGCAGGAAGAGAAAGTAGCAAAAATCAAGACTGAAAAAGAAAGGGTTTGGATACAGAATCCAGTGGTAAAGTCAATTAAGAGGCTCAATGAGGAAATGTTCTAGTCAAGTAACCAGAATTCAACAGAAGCTTTACTGAAGAAAAGATGAGAATTGCAAAGCTAAACGCCACAGAAAATGGGGTGAGAAGTGGGAGACCCAGTTCTGGGAACCAGCGTGCTGCTGACCTTATGCAGACACTACAAGAGCCTTTTAAGATGCTAGGATAAAACGTACGGTAGAGAACATGGAAGGAAAGCCTGCCTTTCTGGTATTCTGAGGCAGAGTGACACCATCGTCCCAGAGTCTGGCAGAGAAGTAAAAGGCACTGCTTTCCTTCTCTAGCCTGGAGAAGACAAGGTATTAAACATGCTTAAAAACATAAAACTGTAATAAACAACATCAGGCCAGTAACACAAAATCATAGATGAGAAGGCGTATACTTCAATCTCAAGTGAATGTCCTGTACGACGGTTAAAATTAATTAGAATCCAGCATGTACATACCTCATCTCAGTCATTCTGCAGCACAGAGCATCCTCCACATTCAGCTGATCGCTAATGTTTAATGTACAGCAGAATAGCTCAATTTGGGGTTGTAAAGATCCTAAGAGAAGATATGGAATAACACAGAAATTTAGAATATTTTTCAGAAGATTCAGGTTTGGTTTATCTGTTTGGGATGTGTTGATCTGCAAGATGAACAAAAGTAGGTAATGTAATTAATTAAATCCCAGTGTACCTGCAAGGGTTTATATTTAACGTCCTTACTTTTCTTTCAGCTGCTTTAGCTCCGATTCATCTCCTGTACAGTCACTGTCCCCAGCCTGTGGGACTGTAGAGAAATGTCTTGAATCCACAAGAGCAACTCTTGCACTGGGCCACAGGAACAGAAAGTTTGGACTGAATGATCTCCCACACTACAAAAAAATGCAGGGTACAAACGCACCGAAATTAATCACAAAAAGCTGGCCGTAGGGCGACACAACCAAGTTCAAGGCAGAACGTAACACGGTTTAATTTGCAAAGCATTAATGATATAGCTCCTTGCAGCACTCCTGCTATATAAAGCCTGGAGGTACTAACACGGACCAAGACCCCGAGGGCAGGTAACGCCACAGATGACCTGTCAGAGTTTACACTGCAAGCCAGCACACAAGGAGCCAGGACTCTGGGCTCTCCTTGATTCATGTAACATAAAACATAACAGTCAACCTGAAAAGTTTATACTTTCAAGCTAAAAAGGCTCTAAAAATATATTTGACTTTTTTTTTTTTTTTAAATATGATTTGACTGGAATGTTGTAGGCTTTGTGAATGTGTTAATGATACAGTCTGATCTGAATTATGCAAGGTTTTATTGTACGGATATTATCCCATCTCCAGGAGATGGGAGAAGGGAAGATAGATAGCTTTCCAATCAGTTTGGGAAGGAACACTTCTAAAGTTGCTGTTTCTTATTTTTTAAGGATGTCAATATTCCAACTGTCTGGCTAGTAATTTTTGTGAACAAAAAAATCATTTCACAAAGTCATGAAAACTATTCATCTATAGTCGCTCTCTGCTGCTACTGGCCTGAGACACAATGAATTCAGAGCTCAGAGAGAAGACCAGGCTTTCCAGAAGTATTTTATCACCCATTCTTGATGGATACAGAACTTCATAATCATTGTTATTGGAATACCATAAAACCTGAGTACGATATGAAAGCTGTTTAGACAAATATGTCCATACATTCTGACAGTGAAATGTTACAGCCTTACCCTTCACCTGGCCAAAGCCTGTTACTAACGTTGTTCCATAATGAGCCTTGAATTCCTGGAATCTGCTTCCGTCCATCAGACAGCTCAGAATCTGCACAGAAACAGACAGTCTTTACTACAGAAATTCAAGTGAAAACTCTGTTCGAATAGTAAGGAGACCTGTATAACGCAAGAAGCCCCTTTTGCACTCTGCTAAGTACTCAATACGCACAAAACATCAAATTTGTGCTGGTTTGTTTACCAACCATGTATTTTGAGCCAAAGTTCAACTCCAAAATTATTTCAGTGTTAGAAAGCACAGCTGTTCATGTGCATCAAAATGCTGTAAAAAGCCCAGCGTGTGCAGTTCCAGTTTGTGTGCGTATAAAACAGCATGTATTGCTGGTGCTTTTTTCAAACACAGCTTAAAAGCTGCCTTCAAAGCTGCACTGCTTTCTACAGTCAATCCCCTTAACTGTAGGAATGTACCCCTGGGAAAGATACTGGATTCACATCCTCAGAGATAAAATATCTTCTAGAACAACACAACAGGCAGTTCTGTATGTCTCTGCATATGTATTAGCAACTGTCCCAGCCTCAAACAAGTTCAATTTGAGCTCTGTTGTGTCTTCAGTCAATATTTTCATTAGGCATTTAAGTTACGAGACAGACACTTGACTATTTGGGGAAAAATAAAAGGAGGGGAAAACAGGACCCTGAAGGGGTGCACATTCCCAAGGCAGCTACCGCGGTACAAGACATACTGACACAACAGCATCTCAAACAGCGCATGGAAACAGATGGGGATCAGCTGGCACAACCTCTTCTCTCCAGCAGGTTTTCAGCTTAAATATTTCCTACAAGTCTAGAGAATTGTTGCCATTCTGCCTTGTTGCAGACTTAAGACAGTTTGACAACTGACAAGGCAATAGCACAGAACATCTCAGGTACTGCAGGGTTCTCCAAGAGAGAACAGCCTGCTGCCTGTTAACCTGGAGGGACCAGACAGAGCACACTGAAAGGATGAAGGGATACAGCATCTGTCACCTTACCAATTGTACAGGAAGAGAACACCTATAATCCCACAGTGCCAGTCGCAGGAGCTCGTCAGAACTGTTTGGAGGACTGTCAGCCTCGATGACCTCCTTTGGCAGTGGATCATCATTCAATGTTGAGATAACATTTCGAAGGCATTCATAGGCTTCCTTCTCTGAAGATGCAAAATGGTCACTACAGACACTGACCCTCGGAGAGAGAGCAACATTAATTAGTGTTGAATTAATTAAATCTGAATTCTGATAGAAAACCCAAACTAAAGGAAAAACCTTAATCCCTACTGTGACTCTCCAAACTCCCTGAACATTTCATATGTATGAGCTGAAAAACAGTAAGTCAGTGGAATTTCTGTGCAATCCAACCCCAAAACAAATTCACAGTAAGGAAAAGTTCTTCCCTGTGACTTTTGTTTTTACCTATATTAAAGAAAGACCTCTGAATTTATTTTCGTGATGAAGTCGTTGCAAACAATGTAATAAAGGGAAAACAAACTTTAAAAAATATTTCAAAATAAGCACTTCCAGCCCAGATATCAAGACAGTAACTTACGACACAGTAAGACAGTTAGCTGACTGGCACACTAGTATTTGTTTTTGGGAGAAAGGTAGGGAATCTGGCTATCATATGCACAGCACAGGATGCCAAGAACTAAGAAGAAAAGCCACCATTTTCTTCTGGCTAGAAGGGAGTAACTATTTTGACAACTACAGAAATTTCTGACACAGAAAAACACCATTGAAGAAATGGTTAGATGGGGTTTATTTCCTGTTTGCTCATCTCCTGCTATGACACCCTCATTAAGAGCTGAGGCAGGCAGGCTTTCCATTTTTCTCCTTTGCTTCAGGTACTTTCACAAGCACTCAGATTCTTCTCCAAAGTGAGTGAGTCCAGTGTCTTCAGAAGCAGGCAAGACAAACGGAAAGAAATCATACCACCTCTCCACTCAGCTCAGGGAAGGAGAAACAATTTTTTATGTATTTTCCCCATCATCACAGAATTTGAACACTCACAATATTTTTTTTTTAACATATGTATCCTGACAATGTTTGCATTAGGAAATGAAGTGATACCATCCCTCTTCTATAGCCAGTCCCTCTGAGGCACAGAGGAACTGCCTTGCCTGAAGTTGTTCAGAAAGAATGGGGATCCAAATCCAGATTTGTCCAGTCCCTGCTTCACCCCATAACATCACTTAATTTGATTTCCATTTGGCTGATCTAACAAAAACCACATACCTGAGAAGGAAAGCAGTGTAATAACAGGTTTTTCTCTTTTTCCTCTGTACTTATGTGAGATTTCTATCAGAGTGGGTGTGCATGTACGCAACGGAAGTGGAAAGTTCCTTCAGTAGTAAAGCTGAAATTACAATCCCATGTTACTTTTTTCATTTCAAAGTTATATCTAGCCCCATGATCCTCCCACATCCATAACTGAATACCACCAGCCTTTACAATTCACATATCGTTTCTACCTTTTTTTTTTTTTTCACTAAATGTTTCTCCATCCTTGAGGACCATGTTGTGTCCTATCACTGGAGCAGGTTCAGTCACAGCAATTTAAGATAAAGCGACAGTTTCTTTAAAGCTAACTATGCTGAATTCTCTATGATTTTTAAGAATTATTTCATGGACTTAGAGTGCAGTTTGGCTCCTCCTAGGTCCTCAGGAGAGACATAGCTTTTACCAGAGGCAGGCTAGCAAGGAAAAAAATTTATCTATAATCACAGCTTCTTCTGCCATGGCTGGAATACAGGCACCTCTGGCTACGCAGGAGCCCGCACACCACTGCCACCTGAGGGACACAGAAACCACAACAAATCAGGACGCTGGGAAAGAGGGAATGGAAAGGCAAAACCAGTACGTTAATTTCAGAAATGTTCAAGAGACTAAATAGTAGCTTGGGGAACAATGAAGGAGAGATATAAATACCAGCATGAACAACAATGCTGGTTTTGAGAGAGCTCAATGTTTACTCTGAAATAACCTACTCATTTGATGCTTTTCAATCACCATCAGTCGGCGAACAGAAGATCCTTAAGGCTGAAGGATTCTGTTATGTGAGATAAAGGAGTCAGCTTTAGGAATTTTTTTGCATGCTTGAGAGTTGTTCCTAGAATCTCCATTAGAACAAAACCTTTTTCAGTACTCCATTGATCACATATACTACACCTGTACTCCAAACGACACAGTACCTGCGGGATTCTCCTGGCGGACATCATTGCTTCATTGCAGAAAATCCTGCCACCGTGCGACTTGTCAGGAAACAGCTCTGACTGACTTGACAGAGAACAGACAATGTCAGTTTCAATGTTCACTACAAAGCTCAATGTTTCCTCTTCGCTCCATCCATTCACAAATGCATCGGAACCAACTCTGGGAAGGTCAACACTACCAGTCACACCTGAAACTTTCCTAATGTACAGCTTTTGCTGTGGTATTTATTCCCCTTACGCATTGTGCAATTCCAGAAAAATACCCATGTGTTTTGAAAGCAGACGTAAGTTTCACAATTTTTCGTGAAACTCATTTATTCCACACAAACTGCGACTGTAAACACGGAGAAGGGGAAGCTCATGTTCAAACTTTATCTGTGAAATGACTTCAGCACAGTCTCCCTTTTCACTTAGTTTTTGATACAATTCCTTAAGTCAGGTAAAAACTTCAAATCTGAAAATAATCTCCTGGACTCTGATTTGTGGACAAAACTCAATTTAAGTATAACAGACAATGAAAGTCAGCCAGCCAAGAAGACACAACAGAAATCCGCAGTTTATTGATAAAAATTAATATGATTAACACAGGGACCTTCTTCTATGAAGTGGTTCCAGAATTACCTGTAGCGGCAGGGATGGTCCCCCCCCCTCTCGAAAAAACCCCGCTGTCAAGAAGGTACAGAGACACCAGTCTGTTCTGCACAGCTACTTCCTGAGCTCTTGTTTCTTCACTCCAATGGGATAAATAGTTCCTCCTTTTACACTTGCATCAGTTGGCATGAAGAGACACACCAGACCCCACTGATTTGTCCAGTTCCTGTAAGTGGCACCACAGATACTTATCAGAACTCTCTGAAACACCACAGACGAAAAAAGGAGGGCAAATGAGAGCTGGGATGCTCTTCTGGTAATACTAGATCAAGAACTTAAGTTGGAAATGCCACACAAGGAAGAAATCTATAGCTCTTCTCTGGAACAACAAGCTGAAAGCTAATGACATTTAAAAAAAATCTGAATTACAGAAGGCAGAACTTGAAATAAAGTCACTTACTCCTGGTGACAATGTAAGAGAAAAAAATACATAGTTCGATTTCCAACTCCTGAGACAACAGGGAAGGCAATTAAAAATTATGTATATAAAACCGAAAAATCTAACAGTCTGTGACAAAAGACAGGATTTCATACTCTGTTCTTCTAGGTGCTTTTTAAACTGGAACCACTCTTCAAAATGCAATGAAAAGACTTGTCTGTAATTTGAAAAATATTACAAAATAACTGTCACAGCTGCTGTGTCTCACAGTAACTTGGTCCCCTTTTCTTTAGCAGACAACAGCTTATTTGACATATCATCCTAAATTTTTTGAGACCAAAATCAGTATACTGGTAAGTAGAATAAATTACTAAATCTAGAAGAAATGAAAGGACTTGTTTTCTTTAATGGTTTCTCCCAGATTTCCCAGCAAAAATCGCAGAAGAATACTACAGCAGTGGCTGAATTCTACCATGCTGGGAACTGCTACTGGAGAGAACCGATGTTCACTTTTCCTAGGAAAGCACATTCTTAAGACACTAAAATATTTCACAAACCTTATTACATGCATCCTTCTTCCCTTCCCAGTAAGAACAAACTCCTCACTGTCAGTGAGCGAGGCTGGTTGCTCCGGGGAGGTGAGCAGCACATACAGAAAGAACACAACCAGTGTACGCTGCCTACAACCACTTACTCATCACTGCACCCAAACAGCATCTCTCAAATTATATTAAGAATCACGTTGGTTCAAAACCCTCCTTCCTTCTGGGCTGTCCAACAAGGGCTGCTCAAAACAATACCCTCAACCCATATCCATCTTTAGATCTAATATGAAACATATTTAAAGATACCAGCAATTAAACAAACGAACTTCATCAGTTTCCCATTACATCTAAGGTTACATTTGCCAGCAGTTACCAGTAAGGCACCCAGCAGTTACCAGTAAGGCACCCAGCAGCAGCGACGTCACCATAGGGCATATTCAGGCCTCCCAGTGGAGACAGCTCAAGGAAACGCTCATCATCAACTTCAGGTGTTCATGAACACACAGCTTCTTGTTTCGCTGAGTGTGACACAAGATGGCATTTTCTCCCCCTCCTTTACGGACCGTCTCTAGCAATTCTGAATATCTGATTTAAAAAACCAAAGTTTAAATTAATGAAAACCACCTTTACTTACAAGTTACCCGTCCGTAGACTGAACATAGTATTCAAATATATTGCACAGTTTTCATATAAATGGTATGAGAATGAATCCACATTTTCAGATTCTTGTTTCTTACAAAGTGTAATAAAAACCAAAGGTGTGTTCTTTAAAGATGCATTAGTTTTGTTATTCAAAATTGTCTAATAAAGACCAAAAAAAGAGTGTAATAATAAACATTTTATCTGTAGTTTATGCTCACAGCTAGCAGACATTACTACATCCCTGTCCTCCCCTGGGTGTTGCCCACACACACCCAACTCTCAGTATTTCACAATCTATGACCATACTTAAACTCCACCAGCAACCCAGTGAGCAGAGCACTGACAAGGGGCTGATCATCTGCGACCAAAGCTGACTTTGAGAAGTGCTGCCCTACGACAGCGTCAGCCTATGAACTTGCAGCTATTAACAAGGCTATCGTAACTCGCTGGTCCTAACTCAGCATGGACTTTACCTCCCTGCTCCAGCTGCTCAAGGGAAGAATCCAGTCAAGGGCTTCTCCTTCAGTTCCCCTCAACAAGTTTATCTGGCAAAAATCAGTAACTGGTAAGTAGAATAAATTACTAAATCTAGAAGAGATGCACGCTCTACAGCATGGAAGACACACTTTAAAAGCAGGGCACGCTGCAGGGTCACTACAATCATCAGGAGAGGCAGTGATTACCAAATGTTATTGTTGGGGCAGCACCAAGCACAGATAAAGAACTGAATAAACTGTAAACAAATGTGTTATCTCAAATAATTTTGCTCTTAAGTAAACCAGGTTCTTGATTTATTTAAAATAAAACATTTTTCACCAAGATGCATCATCTTTAACTAAAAATACTGCTTGACATAACTACACACCCCTCTGCACGTGACTCCATTATCTTATTGCGGCTTCCTGCAGACTGCAGAGATTGAAAAGCCTCAGGAGAAGCAAAGCTAAGGATTTTCAATAATGTCACCAATGCCACCACAGGAGGGCACAGTGTGTTTTCCACAGCTTTGCTTCCAGCTCATGTATCACTCCTCTGAACAAAGGCGTTTGAATTTTTGCTATCTGATCTTTAAGGACAAATACATAAAAGACATTTTCCTGCTTTTATCAGTGAATCAACTGCAGCAACTGTCACCTGCTCTTTCAGGAGGGATGTATATATGTGTATCAAACACAAAACAAATTTTAGGGAGGTCTAGAAGAAATACTTCTTGTCAATATATGCAACACAATGTCACATTTTAAACACAGCCTGCCTGCAGACTGAAGCATATCCGGCAATGTTGAGGCACCTCTTTCCAGGGGCTGAAATTTTTAAATGCTGCTCCTTGTAAAATTCACTCTGCAAAGAAGCTGCCTGAGAAAAGAGCAGCTGGGAAACTAGTTTGAGCTTCATAAATGGTTAGGTTAAAAAACAAAACCAAACCAAACCAAACAAAAAACCCCAAACCAACACTTTTATGTTTATTTTTCAATGTCTGGACTTTTTAATCAGCATTCTTCCTATGTTACAAAGTTCCTAAAAGCACCCGTAACTCTCACGTCGCCTCACAAGTAGCAACAACCCTAAAAACGCCACAAAACCAGTTTATTACCTTCTAATAACAGCCTCACTGTTCCTTCAATTTCCTTCAAACGCGTGTCGATACGCCGGCAGGACACGTCCATCTCAAGCAGGGCACGTTTTCGCACGTTTTCGCACTTTTTGCCTTATGACTTACCAAACGGCGCGGCAGCACGTCGCGTGTCCTGCCCAACCCCTGTCTCTGCAGTTTACCAGGACACAACTCTTTATATTTTCTGTCAAACACGCGATTTAAGGTTTGTAACCTGGGGAGCAGCCGAGATGGGCCCTGGGCTGGGATGACCCCCAAGTGACCGTGCTCCACCTGGCCCTCAGAACTGCGGGGACAAGAAACAACGTTTATTTCCAACGACTAAACTCCACATCCCCTCCACTGAGGGGGCAAAGCCGCCAGC